GATTTGTTGCGGAATTGGTGGGGTCGCTTTGTAACATTTGCTTGGATTTGAGCGAGGAATGGTTGGAGTCAATGAATATCCAGGAAAGTTCAAGAAGATGCGTTCAGAAGATGGATGTCCAGTTTTTGTAAATAAGATGCAAATGAGAGTTTTGCTTCCCTGTCCAATAGTCTGTAACCGGTCAGTTGGCATTTTCTAATAAATGGCTCCGCAGCGAAGGCCTTCTTCCTTCCACCGGTGGTCGACCACGTGGATAGGAATATGGGCCTGCCGATGGACATGGCGTTCTTGTTAATTGGCGCTCGGTTCCGTACTGTTTCATTGGCATCTCAGACGTTGTATAGGGAATTAAAACGTTGTACGACACCCCAGTGCTGTTGCACCGGCAATCACATTGACGAGCTTAGCGAATGAACTATCGACCAATGGTACGGTGCTAGGGTCGGTTACAAGGTGTATATTTAGAAATTGCCCTGAATATTTAAAGTTGTGGCAAGTGTGTAGCTTGATATAACCTCATTTCCACTGAGAAGAATGCAGTAAATTTGATGGCCCGTTCGAAGTTTCTATCATCAAACTTTCATGGGCGAGCATCCGCACAGAGATTGACCTAGGAAAAATCACCAATGTATTGAATATATTTTTCGCAGTTATTTATATTTAACAGATATCGTTTTAAGAAGGAAGGCAACAGCAAAAGACAACGTATTTGTTCTTGGTTCAGTGCCACCTAAAAGACAGGACGAAACTCCTCCTTGGGAAGTTTTCATCGACCATGTTAGTAGTGTGTCACTGCAAGAAGACCACTTTTATGCAGCAGTAATATACCGAACCATAGATTCATTTACTTTTAAACCTATTATTGTTTCACTTGTTAGAGCAATCTTCAGCTTCACGGAGAACACGTTCCGTTTGTGAATGAACTGTTGTCCAAAGTCATCTATAAAATGGCTCAGTGGTTGCAAGGGGAGATTGATCAGAGATTCTCACAAACATGTCCTCAGATCACGTGCCAGTCTGTTGTTCCAACCCTTCCCCCTCCGAATGACATGCATTAATCGCGAAACAGAGAGCATCTTTAGCTACATCTCCAGCGATAATACAGAGCTTGATGAGAGCCTACGATAGGCGAAAGTTTGTCAGTTGATTGCAAGACTAACCCAGTGAGGAATTAGCAGGATTATACACCGAGGTTGTGCAGTTTGCCCGATTGCGTCACAGTCAAACATCCGCCTGAAACACACTGATGTTTTGACGAAGAGATCTCATCCCCGAATCTTTGGTAGGTCGAATTCGATCTGACTAATAGAGGATGAGCGGTTTTAGGGTCTAATCAATGCGTCCATGTTGTGCCAGTTACGAAAAGTTGACAAGAACAACCAAATCCTTCGACAAAGTAATCAAAAGTGTACTGGAGCCATCATCGGTTTTCTGTATTAACCTTATTGTCTTTTATTTAGTCAGGGCTGGTTTATAGAGCACAGGTGAGTAGTAGTACTGGCGGCAGTGGTACTGAGTGAAATTTAGCAGAGCTCCTATCTTTTAGTATGTACTTCGATATAGATACAGCTTGGACCTCAAACGTGCTTGGGGTTCGGCGACTTGGATTACATGACGAGCCTCAAGAAAGGCAAAGCAGTTCAGAGTTTCTGTCTTTCGGTAGAACTAGGAACGCCCGGAGTAGTGTATCTTGAGAATGCGTCGTCTGTTTATGTTTATAAACAGGGCGTGCGTAAAACTGTGAAACCGTGTGATTCCTCATTCTACCACCAAAGTCATCTACATTTATACATCAAAATGCGCCTCATTCCTGCTTGATGTTTTGTTTAAATTGTTTCGAATTTGAAATAAGCATACTGCAACCACATACTGTGAATACGAGCCACAACTTTTAGCGAGTCTCGAATTCGAACCAACCTCAACCTAAATTAAACTCTTCATATTTCGGTTCGGAAAGCAGTTTGTCGTTGGTTTCTGACGGTTGGCACTACTTGCATGGTTGCTGAAAACCCTGAAAACCCACAACCCGTTTCACTCTTTCAGGAGCCCATCAGGTAAATACAGTCCCCGAGTTTCCTTCAAGCTTAAATTCCACTTGAACTCAAATACACTCATTTGCAGGCGAGAAGTTCGACTCAATCTTAGCTGAATCTCTTGTTTAGGATTCCCTGCTTCAACTGATTGTGCTACGCGTATTCAATTTATTTCCATCCATCAGTTTTGAAAATGTCAGAAGGGTTGGTTTACAAACAGTAGAGCGTAACTTTTTAAGCCTCCTTTGACTGATAAGATACCCGGAGAACCCAGAGCTGCTCTGTTCTAAATTTCAACCTCATATCGAAGCCAGTTCCTAATTAATACAAATCGGGCAGAATTCGCATATTGGGTCACATAGATAGGTGGCTTCAGGCGCAGTTATTGGTTAGTCACGCGACAGCTGCAGCGTCACTGGTCACGCGCTTCAAAGAACCTTGCCCGGAACACCCCCATACCGGTCGGAAATGTTTTCACTCATCCCTACGAACTTGATTGTGATTGGTTGAACAAGAAAGTAAACTATGGCTGATGGCAGAAAATCTGCCGCAACAGAAGACGATTGGTTGGAAGGAGAAACCAATAGAAAAGTGGCCATTTGGACACGCGGGCTTCACCCGCATGGTTTAAAAGCTAGCCAGGTGCGGGACCACCAGTTTCAAACATCGATTCAGCCTTAAGGTGCCCGCAAGATCAAGTTACCCTGAGAATGGAAATTTGCGGGGCCACGTCAAACTCAACCTGCTTCGCAAGTGCACCTCCATACTTACGGCAGCCGTACGATTTGAGTCAAGTATCCGCTCCCACTACCAGTTTACAGCTGGTCTATCCACCGTACCCATATCCGCTATCAAACGACCAGCATATTACGCAAACCATACCTCCGTTCAACTGCCCCGGACCAACTCAGCATCGAGTTGTACCGACCACTACTTGCACGCTCACGGCACCAACTTTCTACGACAGTGCAGCTTCTACGGTACAAAAGCTACAAAATCAGTATTCTTTCAAGTCCGACGTCTGCCACTCTGCTGCTACGCAGTTACCTGCCTACAATGAAACAATCAAAACGGGAAACAGCTTGTCAGAGCAACAGCAGAACGGCGTCCAGTGGCTCGATCAATCCAAGCACAATGTGGTAACAATCGGTCAGAATTCCCGACAAAATGGGAACAGGGAATTAACAGCCTTTACGAACAATCTGCTTCAACATGTTCATGATCTCTCCCAGTGGGATGTCAACGATCCCAAGTTGCCAAAGGTAGGTTCATCCCGGTAGGCGGATTTCCGTATCCACTCTAAGCTTCGTTTTATGCATCCACAGACCCAGCAGTAATCGTGTTCATGACCAGACCAGCAACTAAGTTAAGATCGCTGGTAGTCCAAAGCCAGTCTATCCGTTCCATCAGTACATAGTCCTTATTAACCTTTTAAATCAAGATGAGGTTCCTGAGAGTTATATTGTCTTCTTCGAAACTGTATTGCAATGCTGGAGCTTCATTTCGATAATTGTTATAGTTGTTTGGACGAACGCATAAAGTAAGGAGACAGCTTATCTGTTTTCCAATTTCAAAGGAGATTCAAATTTTCCTACCGCTACTTTCAAGTATTCCGGATTCCATATCCCGAATTTTTTCTTTATTTCGACCACACTTTTGTCAAAGAATCGGGGGAAAGGAAAGTTAAGATGAACGGCATCCTGAGGTAAGCAAAACCTACAAGTATGAAATTTCTAGACCTTGACTTGAAGTGAACCGAATTGTGGTTCGGGTTTATTATACTTTAGACTTAATATGGCTAGATTTCCTGAGTGAATCGATGAAATATCTGCGCCTACTCTCCACAAAAATGCTAACCTGAATTGAAGGACCTCGGATTATTGAATGGAAATTTTCGGGGAACAAATATAGTATGATCTAGGGTGGACCGTTGAAGGGAACGTCTACAGGGGTGCAGAGAGCGCGTACACTGCTAGTAAATAAGATATAGACAAGGTAATAGGCAACGTATGAAGCGACTTCACCTGGTGACACATGTCTGTCAGCAGAATGGAAAAATGTCAGTTTAATGCCAACTATTGGACCAGGTTAAAGTCCTAGGGGGAAAGTTGTCGCCCATGCAGAGCGATATTCAAGTCCTTCAGCTAAACAGCCTTGATATACTGTGAGGGAATAATCAAGGAAAGTTAGATGAACGGCATCCTGAGGTAAGCAAAACCTACAAGTATGAAATTTCTAGACCTTGACTTGAAGTGAACCGAATTGTGGTTCGGGTTTATTATACTTTAGACTTAATATGGCTAGATTTCCTGAGTGAATCGATGAAATATCTGCGCCTACTCTCCACAAAAATGCTAACCTGAATTGAAGGACCTCGGATTATTGAATGGAAATTTTCGGGGAACAAATATAGTATGATCTAGGGTGGACCGTTGAAGGGAACGTCTACAGGGGTGCAGAGAGCGCGTACACTGCTAGTAAATAAGATATAGACAAGGTAATAGGCAACGTATGAAGCGACTTCACCTGGTGACACATGTCTGTCAGCAGAATGGAAAAATGTCAGTTTAATGCCAACTATTGGACCAGGTTAAAGTCCTAGGGGGAAAGTTGTCGCCCATGCAGAGCGATATTCAAGTCCTTCAGCTAAACAGCCTTGATATACTGTGAGGGAATAATCATGCTGAAGACAGAGGTATTCAACAGTTTCTTGGCAGATTGCCGTCTTCTACTGTAGGCTCCCCTGGTTTGTTCAACCGGTCACATTTGACACTGCATCTGCACACCATTTCGCCTGTTTTTTTCCTCCTGAAAAAGTGCCGCTAGTCTGAGGAAAGATCTGCTCACTAGTTACACAATGTTGCCAGTCTGGCTGCGGAAGATAAACACCTACAAACTGGTGAGAATCCAGTCACTCCAATTAAGGTAATAAGACGTTTGGGATTATGCGGTCATGAAAGATTATAAGACAGCCCACCAGCTTTCATGAACTAATCAAATGTATATGCGCAGCCTGTAAGTTTGATGAATGACTTTTTCAATGCACTCTCGTATGGCTCTTCCAGCTTCACTGAATTAATCGGCCCTTTTCACCTCGCTTGACAGATCCGTCAATTCGATACATTCACCATGTGGCCTCAAGGACACTGCCGATATGCTTATCAAAAATCCGCTTCGGAAGGAGCACGACGTCACGCCAGCGGCTGGGCGATGCGCAACACCAATAACCACAATGCATTGATCTTGAAGAAAAGCTGTTTGGGTGTTTTACTCTGTTCCTCAAAGACTTGCAGCTTGGCCATGCGCCCCGCAATATGTGATAAGGCAAGGCGACGTCAAGAAGGTGAGTGTACGGGTTCTGAGTAAACATCACCTAGATCGAGCTCCTAGTTTGCCCACTGGTCATGCTGACTATCTGAAATCCTGTGAGCTTCATACCTGGTTTTCATAGCCGTCTGATCGCTCCAAAGATTGCAGCACTACATTGATGAAATGGAAGCTGCACCTTAATCAGCTGTGTGTTCGGAATTCGCGCTCTAGGTTCTTCCAGACGGTCTTTAATCTTCCATGACTGAGCCACTTGACTAATCTAGTTGGTATCCGAACTTGCACATCAGGTGCAAATCTGAGTTATTTTAACTTTTACAAACTGGAGCTTGGTGACTGCTACCGTAAATCAGCACAGGGTTTTCACAGAGACACACCTGGAACCTTCGTTTGTGATGTTCCTTTTCAACTGAATGCGTTGCAGCAGGTGGCCTCACGTTTCAGTTAGTACAGTATTTGAGATAACGCAATACGCTGCAATTCAGGTTGCAGCAGAAAATAAGACTGACGGAAACTGGGGAACTGCGCCTACTCACTGAGTCCCAAGAAGGTTGAAAGTGGTCGTAGGTTGTCGGAGAGTTTTCGGCAACCTTATGAGCAGAGAGTTATTTCTGTTCAGTGTTTTGCTGAATCTCGAAACTGAAACATGAAGCGCCCTCCGTTGAAGATCAACATCGAAAACAATAGATTCAACTGGGTTTCAGTGGAGTCACCCGTCAAAACCAAATCGGAATGCAGATGAATGTAATTGTTCAACACAAGGAGCTTCAAAATGATATTATGAATAGGCCAGAGACAGTAAAAGCAACTATGCTACACCATGGCTACACATTGAGCTAGGGGCTTTTTCTGGTGTATGTTGACTCGCATTTGCCTGGGGGTACTGAGTCAGGAAAGACTAGGAATGGAATCGGGTATTTTTTTAAAGCTAAACGCAAATGCCTTAATGAAGTAGATCATAAGACCTGGAAGGCATGGTCTCTGTGAGCACGTAAGAGGATCTGTCGTTGGTGTTGAACCGTAGCCGAAACCAATGGTCTTTGAAGCTTTACCGGTTAGTCTGCTCCAAACATCCTCCCCGAATTCGGGAAATACACTTTTCTGCACATCAGTTTGACTTTCAAGGCAGATTCAACTGAATTCCAGCCGAATCGCTCGTTTGTGATATTTTAGAAACAATCGAGTTTAATTCGCGAACTTCGTAAAATTCGAATTCAAGTAGAACACAGGGCTTACCTTAATGAACCCCGAACAGAGCGAAACCGGTCATAGGCTGTCGAAGTGTTTTCAGCATCCTCCTCAAACTTTTGTTCCAAGTCCCTATAGGATCCAAGTTGTATCGGTTCTTCACCAGTTCGTGAAACCGGTCTAGGCTGTCGAAGTGTTTTCAGCATCCTCCTCAAACTTTTGTTCCAAGTCCCTATAGGATCCAAGTTGTATCGGTTCTTCACCAGTTCGTGTATTCTGCACTCAACAGCCTGATGCTCCGTTGACACAGGCTATTCTTATTCGTTTTCATGTAGGACATCAACGATGAACTAGCATGCACATTAGGTGAGCACGGTGTAAGTCGTTTCTACCATCGTCATTGTCCGTCATTAACCTGTGCATCCCACCGGCAGTTTCCTTAGCATACTCGCCTCTCTGTCTAAGACGCATGAACCTAACGTAAAGCGGTACAGTCGTCCCTCCTTCATGCGACCTCAAAACCGAGCGAATAGGACTGTACTGGAGGGGTTTGTCTCGTCATTTTCTGGAATTATCACTGCAGTGCTCAGTCACATAGTCGTACTATAGAAAAAAACGACTGTGATGCCAATAAGGAACTAAATGGGTAATGCGCTCTCTCCTCCCGGTAATATATTTGATGAGATTGTGGGGTGCAACGTCATCTAAGGTTCACACGACTAAACATATCGGATTTTAACTAGTTAGATAGTTCTTATTTCAATTCAGTGGTAAGTTGTAGTTTTTCAGACGTTCTAATTATGGTTTCGGACTGGCTGTACTGGCTGGCTTCTGCTTCTTGCCTGAACCCAAAACCATAATTATATCTAGCTGTGAGTCAAGTATCCAGCCACGTTTCCCCCTAGAAGAGCGGATCCATTTGTTCATATTTGGCGATAACGACACGTTCCACCGGTCGTGCTGGCAAGTCAAGCGCAAATTACACGTGGTATCCATTTTCACCCATTCGCCTTGTCTTCAGATCACATGATCAATCAGACAACGACTGCTGATCCAGCTATCGGGGTCAGTTCAGTGTTACAACGTCATATTACTGGGTGACACTGTGCTTGCAACCTGTCTACCTATTACTGGATACAATCCACACATGTTCACACCAAAACACCAGGGTGCTTACCAGCCCCCACCTTTCCAAACACACACACACACACACAACCCTACGTGACCCCATCCAACACTGAAATGTGCTAGCATATGTGTTTAGATTTTATCGAATTAAACAACCAAGTGACCAACACAACACTAGCGTGTGACATTCTGACACGCGTGTAAGCAATCTGTTCTCATTTTCAACTTCTATCTAGGTCGAGCTTGTTGTATGCCCAACTGCACCGGAATCATTTACAATCAGCCTTGTCGCGGTCACAGTGGATTTCCAGTTACGCATTTCTGGCGCGAACACGGGGACACGGTTTACTTTCAAGCGAAAGGAGTTCACGACCACGTCAGACCGGATCTGAAACCTGTTCGTGATACAGCCGCCCGTCGGAGACGCCAAATGCAGCTGGACAAACTGCAGTCCGGCAGCAAAACCGCAGCTGGTCTGATGACAGCTGTTGCGCAGAGGACCACGAAAGTCCGTGAACAGCGAAAAGATGGGGCTAGTATTCAGACACTGCGTAAGCGATCAACAACGGAGTCGGCGGAGACCAAACACGAAGTGGATCAGGTGAAATGTGAAGCTCCTTCAGTGAACAGTATATTCCTGCCAAATCCAAGGGTTATCCAAGAGTGGCGATGTCAAACAAACTCAGCCTCGGGAAAATCTCCTTATGGTGAGTTTGAGACCAGCTTCGGAATGACGTAATATGATGCGTAGTGCATGATAGATCAAATAAAGCAAAGCTGTTCGAATTCCAGTTATTCATATAGCAAAACAACCTTTGAAATATTTTCATAAAGGTAACTAATCACAAGGTTGCTGAAAACTCTTCGACAGCCCACGACCGGTTTTGCCCTTCTTGGGGCTCATCAGGTAGGCGCAGTCTCCGAGTTTCCGTCAACCTTATGATCTACTGGAACCCAAATTGGACTGTTTTCGAGAAATACACTCATTTGCAAACCGATTTAGTTTTTGCGAGAAATTCAACTGGATCTCTCGTTTAGCACTGAAAGTGTTTCTATATATATATATATATATATATATATATATATATATATATATATATATATATATATATATATATATATATATATATATATATATATATATATATATATATATATATATATATATATATATATATATATATATATATATATATATATATATATATATATATATATATATATATATATATATATATATATATATATATATATATATATATATATATATATATATATATATATATATATATATATATATATATATATATATATATATATCGAAAAATACAGAAAATATAGGTTGTTCCACATCCCGGATGACGGAGTTCCGTCTTTTCTGGGAATCATAACTTATCAGAGGATCTTTTCCGTGCTCTTACACATTCCGCAGCAGACTGTCGATTTTGAAGGTTGGCCCGCTAGGCCCAGCAGATTGACTGTATCCAGTGATGAAGAGAACTATTCAGCAGTGCTTATCCCTGGTCGTGCTGGG